ACAAGCCACTGGTTTCACCCCAGTCTATTTTGGGGGGTGTGGCGAGTTGGAGTGCAAAGCTGTGGTTGTTACTGTGGAGCAGGGAGATGGAGGCTTGGCATACAGCAGTAGGAATGTCACTAGATGTTGTTCAAGTCGAGTCAAAGGTTTTTACTTGAAATTGCTCTCTCCGCTTTCTTTAGCCTGAGATAAAAATATTCAGAAAGCTCTCTTCCAGATCAACTTCTAAAATATACCTTAGCGTTCCTTCTTTCTCCCCTCTCCTCCTTGCTGTCTCCCCGCTCTTCCTCCCCACCACCATATCCAAACAGATTGAGAAGACATCGCCAGGACTGATGTGCTATTTCAGGTCTGACATGAGCAGAGCTGCTGTCTGGCCTGAGGTGTGCTGTCTAACGGGCAGGCTAAAGCCAGTGTGGAGGTGGTGGAGGGAGGAGAGTGGAGTGGAGGGGAGGGGGGATGTTTTCTCTTTTCCACAGAGTGAGGCCTTTTCATGTGGGCTCTGGCCACTCTGCCCATTAAGGCAGGATCCATTGTGGCCCCTCGGCAGGCAGCATGCCTCTTTACATCCCCACTGATGATCAGCACCGTTGTTTTTCTTTCCCCTGAAGTGGAAAAGTTAACTGGGGCACTTCAGATTTCCCCTGCCTGCCTCCCAGGCCCCTGGGCTGGGCTCACTCTCCGCTGAGCTGGGGACGTTGCTGGCCCCACACGCTTTATGGGGGGATTTTGGCCAGGAGATATGGACCTTTTTATTAGTTAATGCGGTTTACTCAGGCGGTCAAATGGTATGTGCACATTCCGTAAGTTGTTGTCAAGGTAACCGTGTGGATAACTGCCCCTTGTTCCAGCAGAAACTGACACGTCAGCATATATTCTCTAGTTTACGCAGGATATCACCTTGAGTTTGGGATAATGGTTGCCATGGCTCCATTTGTTTGTAATAAATCATAATTGTTAGGGAGGTAAAAGTGTCCCTCCAGGTACAAATGTAAAGCGAAACGTTGCTGCAGTCAGTCACACTGTAAATGTCCATCCAGTTTAATACTATCCATGGGATTAATGATGAAACATAACAGAAATATTGATTCATTACATTTTCTCTTCCAAATTTCCGAAGAGAGAGAGGAGAGAGAGAAGAGAAGAGAGAGGAGAGAAGAGAGAGAGAGAGAGAGAGAGAAGAAGAGGAGATAGATAGCGACGAGATCATACTCGCTATCGCTCGTCCTCTCTATAGCTGATATCTCATCCTATCTCTCTCTCTATCCTCTATCCTCTCTCTCTCCTCTCTCTCTCTCTCTCTCTCCTCTCTCTCTCTCTCTCTCTCTCTCCTCCTCTCTCTCTCTCTCTCTCTCTCTCTCTCTTCTCTCTCTCTCTCTCTCTCTCTCTCCTCTCTTCCTGCTCTCTCTCTCTATTCTCTCTTCTTCGTTCTATCATACCTCTATCGAGACGAATAATTCTTCCGACCCCTTGACTTTTTCCACATTTTGTTATGTTACAGCCTTATCCTAATTATTATTTTTATTTTTTTATTCCTCCTCAATCTACACACAATACTCCATAATGACAAAGCAAAAATCAATTAAAAAATATCACATTTACATAAGTATTCAGACCCTTTACTCAAAGCACCTTTGGCAGCGATTACAGCCTCAATTCTTCTTGGGTATGACGCTACAAGATTGGCACACCTGTATTTGGGGAGTTTCTCCCATTCTTCTCTGCACATCCTCTCAAGCTCTGTCAGGTTGGATGGGGAGCATTGCTGCTCTGCTATTTACTCCAGAGATGTTCGATCGGGTTCAAGTCCAGGCTCTGGCTGGGCCACTCAAGGACATTCAGAGAGTTGTCCCGAAGCCACTCCTGCATTGTCTTGGCTGTGTGCTTAGGGTCATTGTCCTGTTGGAAGGTGACCATTCGCCCCAGTCTGAGGTCTCGAGCGCTTTGGAGCAGGTTTCCATCAAGGATCTCTGTACTTTGCTCTGTTCATCTTTCATGATGCTGCCACCACCATGCTTCACCGTAGGGATGGTGCCAGGTTTCCTCCAGCCATGATGCTTGGCATTCAGGCCAAAGAGTTCAATCTTGGTTTCATCAAACCAGAGAATCTTGTTTCTCATGGTCTAAGAGTCCTTTAGGTGCCTTTTGGCAAACTCCAAGCGGGCTTTCATGTGCCTTTTACTGAGGAGTGGCTTCCATCTGGCCACTACCATAAAGGCTTTATTGGTGGAGTGCTGCAGAGATGGTTGTCCTTCTGGAAGATTCTCACATCTCCACAGAGGAACTCTGGAGCTCTGTCAGAGTGACCATCGGGTTCTTGGTCACCTCCCTGACCAAGGCCCTTCTCCCCCGATTGCTCCGTTTGGCTGGGCGGCCAGCTCTAGTAAGAGTATTGGTGGTTCCAAACTTCTTCCATTTTAAGAATGATGGAGGCCACTGTGGTCTTGGGGACCTTCAATGCTGCAGAAACCTTTTGGTACCCCTTCCCCAGATCTGTGCCTCGACACAATCCTGTCTCGGAGCTGTACGGACCATTCCTTCGACCTCATGGCTTGATTTTTGCTTTGACATGCACTGTCAACTGTGGGACCTTATATAGTCAGGTGTGTGCCTTTCCAAATCATGTCCAATCAATGGAATTTACCACAGGTGGACTCTAATCAAGTTGTAGAAACATCTCAAGGATGATCAATGGAAACAAAGGGTCTGAATACTTATGGAAATAAGGTGTTTCAGTTTTTTTTTGTATTAAATTTGCAAAAATTTCAAAAACTGTTTTCACTTTGTCATTATGGGGTATTGTGTGTAGATTGATTTTTTTTAAATCCATTTTAGAATAAGGCTGTAATGTAACAAAATGTGGAAAAAAGGGGTCTGAATACTTTCCTAATGCACTGAATGAAATGGTGGATTCTGCCGATCATAAATTAAATGTCCAGCGATTTAACAAAACCATAATGAACTCCAGATGAGTTTGATATGCAGCTTCAGTTGGAGCCTTGTGGGGAATGTAATAAGGTTGAAAAATGTGTTGCTCATAGCTCCCTCCAAGGATAAATAAACTCTCTCTCAGCCTGCCTGGCATCAGTTTTTCTCACTGTATCTGTGCCTGTTGGTGGCAGGCAGACCGGCTGCTGGCTGGGTGGGTGGACTGCTCCCCTTATGAGACCAGTTACAGTATACGCGAGGACTCCTGACATCCCCTGGATGATTGTCCCATATTTATGTTAATGTAAGTGTTTTCATACAGCAGTCAACAAAATAAAGTTGTAGCGTCTTCTGTGCGTCATCTGCACCTGTCTGCTGGCCCATGCCCTGTAATTGAAGCTGCAGGGTGGTAATAATGATGATGATGCGCGGTGGCTCCGACTGGATTCTGATGGAGAGCTTCTCCGCTCCCAAAATGTAAAAGAGATGCCAATGTCCCATGTCTCCCATGGGCCCTGATCTGAAACAGCTGCCCCTGCTTCTATTTTCCATTTCCTGTTTGTTTGTGTCTCCAATCCCAGACTGAGGCAGTTTTGAGTTTCAGATTCAGAACTCTCTCTTTTGTGCTCTCTCACTCATGATTTTTCTTCCTCTCTCTCTCTCTCTCTCTCTCTCTCTCTCTTTTTCTCTTTCATTTATTAATTAATTCACTCACTCACTCACTCACTCACTTACTCCATCCTCCTTCCATGTCCTGGGATTGAGATATGGCTTGGGCCTGTGTTGTCTTTATTCCTTAGGTTTTTTCTAGAGCATTTGTAATAAGCACGTAACTGTATTCTCTGTAGTTGATTTCTTTAATCAAATATGACAGCAGATTTCAGTGGCAAAATTGAAAATAGCAGCAAGACGAGAGTGGCATCATCTGAGTGGCATGTAGATTCAAAAGTTAACTTCAAGTTCAGAGTTTGGCTTCGAAGTGTAATTTGTCCTGTGCACACCTCAGGCTTTGACCCAGAGCTCGTTAAGAGCTTATGATTACAGTTCAGAGCAGGTCTAATCAGGGAGGGCTTTCTCCCCAGTCAGTCAGTCAGTCAGCCAGCCAGCCAGTCAGAGGATCCAAGAATAATTGCCTGCTGATTTTATGTTCCCTGGCTTTCGACATTCCCAACACCATTCACCTTCTCCAAGACAAACAGCCATTGTGCCCGGCTGGCGGTGCCCCTCTGCCAGTGAGTGGCATCCCCTGGGGAATCCACAGGGGGAATCGCTGCCATCTGAGGTGCCATGGCTGCTTCTATAAAAGGTCAGGAGCACAGAGGAGAGTAGAGCAGTGTTGTTGCCCAAACTCCACTACTTCTCCAGACCAAGCTGTCGAGCCCATCTATGGTCAAACTCAATCGCAGCTGCTTAGTCCCTGTCGTCGTCCAACCTTGTTTTCCCGTGCCTGTATGTTGCTTTTGTTTAGCTTTTTTTCTTTATTCCTTTGTTCCCCTCATGCCTCATGGATCACAGCTGTGATTAAAGCACTCACTCGCTTGACTAGCTAAACTTGGTTCTGAAAATATGGCTTCAGTTGGTTACTGATACTGTCAGGAGACTTCATCGAATCTCAGAGGAATTAAAGATGTTCTCTAAGATGTAACCATCCTAGATTTGGACTCTTATTTCTTCATTAGCAAGATTTTTATAAAATTACAACTACAGGTTAGCCTAAGATGACATGTAGCCATTAGAAAGGATTTCAATAGGAAATGTTCATCGCAAGACTATGACATTTTTACTACTGTAGCTAATATCAGGAGGAGAAGGGAGAGGGTTTCTGCACTTATTCAAAGATTATATGGAGGGAGTAATAACTAACAATATCTGGCCCTTGTTTCTGGGGAAATTCGACCCTGAGAGGAATTACAGTGAGCAATTCTGCTGATCGTTCCGGGTAAAAGCTTCCTGGCAAAGAGCAGTGAGCAGCGATCTGCACAAGCACTGGAAAAAGAAAAGGAAAACTGGACCGATTGAGAGCAGAGCCATTGTTCAAAGAGCTTCTCAATTGGAAGCGGGTGCTGGTGGTTATGGAGACAGAGAGTCCCTGGCTCCACCAGTGCCCATGCCTCAGTCAGCCCCAGGCCTCAGGCCTGTTCTGGTGCTGGGAGCTGGAGTGGAGAAGGGTGGGGTGGAGACACAACTTTTCCTGGGATGGGCTTGTGTGGGCATTAATGCCAACTGATGACGAGGCTGGGAAGGGAGTCACATAAATAATAATAATTTGGTGGGTGCTTATACAGTGGGGGAAAAAAGTATTTAGTCAGCCACCAATTGTGCAAGTTCTCCCACTTAAAAAGATGAGAGAGGCCTGTAATTTTCATCATAGGTACACGTCAACTATGACAGACAAATTGAGGGAAAAAAATCCAGAAAATCACATTGTAGGATTTTTAATGAATTTATTTGCAAATTATGGTGGAAAATAAGTATTTGGTCACCTACAAACAAGCAAGATTTCTGGCTCTCACAGACCTGTAACTTCATCTTTAAGAGGCTCCTCTGTCCTCCACTCGTTACCTATATTAATGGCACCTGTTTGAACTTGTTATCAGTATAAAAGACACCTGTCCACAACCTCAAACAGTCACACTCCAAACTCCACTATGGCCAAGACCAAAGAGCTGTCAAAGGACACCAGAAACAAAATTGTAGACCTGCACCAGGCTGGGAAGAATGAATCTGCAATAGGTAAGCAGCTTGGTTTGAAGAAATCAACTGTGGGAGCAATTATTAGGAAATGGAAGACATACAAGACAACTGATAATCTCCCTTGTTCTTTGGCTCCACGCAAGATCTCACCCCGTGGGGTCAAAATGATCACAAGAACGGTGAGAAAAAATCACAGAACCACACGGGTGGACCTAGTGAATGACCTGCAGAGAGCTGGGACCAAAGTAACAAAGCCTACCATCAGTAACACACTACGCCGCCAGGGACTCAAATCCTGCAGTGCCAGACGTGTCCCCCTGCTTAAGCCAGTACATGTCCAGGCCCATCTGAAGTTTGCTAGAGTGCATTTGGATGATCCAGAAGAGGATTGGGAGAATGTCATATGGTCAGATGAAACCAAAATAGAACTTTTTGGTAAAAACTCAACTCGTCGTGTTTGGAGGACAAAGAATGCTGAGTTGCATCCAAAGAACACCATACCTACTGTGAAGCATGGGGGTGGAAACATCATGCTTTGGGGCTATTTTTCTGCAAAGGGACCAGGACGACTGATATGTGTAAAGGAAAGAATGAATGGGGCCATGTATCGTGAGATTTTGAGTGAAAACCTCCTTCCATCAGCAAGGGCATTGAAGATGAAACGTGGCTGGGTCTTTCAGCATGACAATGATCCCAAACACACCGCCCGGGCAACGAAGGAGTGGCTTCGTAAGAAGCATTTCAAGGTCCTGGAGTGGCCTAGCCAGTCTCCAGATCTCAACCCCATAGAAAATCTTTGGAGGGAGTTGAAAGTCCGTGTTGCCCAGAGACAGCCCCAAAACATCACTGCTCTAGAGGAGATCTGCATGGAGGAATGGGCCAAAATACCAGCAACAGTGTGTGAAAACCTTGTGAAGACTTACAGAAAACGTTTGATCTGTGTCATTGCCAACAAAGGGTATATAACAAAGTATTGAGAAACTTTTGTTATTGACCAAATACTTATTTTCCACCATAATTTGCAAATAAATTCATAAAAACTCCTACAATGTGATTTTCTGGATTTTCTTTTCTCATTTTGTCTGTCATAGTTGACGTGTACCAATTACAGGCCTCTCTCATCTTTTTAAGTGGGAGAACTTGCACAATTGGTGGCTGACTAAATACTTTTTTCCCCCACTGTATTTGTCCTATTTCAAATGTCAATTGGAAATTAGTTTTTTGCATATCGCATGAGACACCCTCAGAGAGTGGATGACCCTGGAGCAATTAGGATTAAGTGCCTTGCTCAAGGGCACAACAACAGCTTTTTCACCTTGTCGGCTCAGGGATTTGAACTAGCAGCCTTTTGGTTACTGGCCTAATGATGTAACCGCTAGGCTACCTGCCGCCCAAACAATCTGCTGATGATAATACTGCTCAGGAAAGTCTGTAAACTCTCTGAGTCATACATGCTGTTCTCTAGAACTGTATACAGTACAGTAGGCATTGAAATATACTGAACAAAAATATAAACACAACATGCAACATTGACAAATATTTTACAGAGTTCTAGTTCATTTAAGGAAATCAAGTCAATTTAAATAAATTCATTAGACCCTAATCTATGGATTTCACATGACTGGGAATACAGATATGCATCTGTTCGTCACAGATACCTTAAAAAGAAAAGTAGGGGCATGGATCAGAAAACCAGTCAGTATCTGGTGTGACCACCATTTGCCTCATGCAGCGCGACACATCTATTTTGCATAGAGTTGATCAGGCTGTTGATTGTGGAATGTTGTCCCACTCCTCTTCAATGGCTGTGCAAAGTTGCTGGATATTGGCGGGAACTGGAACACGCTGTCATACACATCGATCCAGAGCATCCCAAACTACTCAATGGGTGACATGTCTGGTGAGTATGCAGGCCATGGAAGAACTGGGACATTTTAAGCTTCCAGGAATTGTGTACAGATCTTTGTGACATGGGGCCGTGCATTATCATGCTGAAACATGAGGTTATGGCGGTGGATGAATGGCACGGTATCTCTGTGCATTCAAATTGCCATAGATAAAATGCAATTGTGTTCGTTGTCCGTAGATTATGCCTGCCCATACCATAACCCCACTGCCACCATGGGGCACTCTGCTCACAAAGTTGACATCAGCAAACCGCTCACCCACACAATGCCATACACGTGGTCTGCGGTTGTGAGGCCGGTTGGACGTACTGCCAATTTCTCTAAAAAGATGTTGGAGGAGGCTTATGGTAGTGAACTTTCAATTCTCTGGCAACAGCTCTGGTGGACATTCCTTAACCCTTATCCTAACCCTAAACTTAACCATTACCCTAACCCTAACCCTAGCCCTAACTCTAACCTTAACCCTTACCAACCCATTACATTCAATTTTCCTTGAGCGGATTGTTCGGGGGGCCAGAACATGGTTATAAATCATTTGTACGCTGCAAATTGACAGCAACAATCCCAAATAGATTTAGTATTTGACAAAAACAGAATAGTTTCAAAGCTTGATTACATTGGAATACGATCACATATGCCTCTCTATTTATCTGTGGGAATACCTGGGAACAGATTTTGTAAATAAAAATAACTTTGAGCTGGTTTTCTGGTGATTTTCCAGTAATCATTATTATACAGTGCTTTCGGAAAGTATTCAGACCCCTTGACTTTTTCCACATTTTGCCTTATTCTAAAATGTATTAAATAGTTTTCCCCCCTCATCAATCTACACACAATACCCATAATGACAAAGCGTAACAGGTTTTTAGACATTTTTGCACATTTATAAAAAATAAAAACAGAAATAGCTTATTTACATAAGTATTTAGACCCTTTGCTATGAGACTCTATATTGAGCTCAGGTGCATCCTGTTTCCATTGATCATCCTTGAGATGTTTCTACAACTTGATTGGAGTCCACCTGTGGTAAATGAAATTGATTGGACATGATTTGGAAAGGCACACCCCTGTCTATATATGGCCCACAGTTGACAATGCATGTCAGAGCAAAAAAACAAGCCATGAGGTCGAAGGAATTGTCTGTAGAGCTCTGAGACAGGATTGTGTTGAGGCACAGATCTGGGGAAGGGTACCAAAAAATGTCTGCAGCATTGAAGGTTCCCAAGAACAAAGAGGCCTCCATCATTCTTAAATGGAAGAAGTTTAGAACCACCAAGACTCTTCCTAGAGCTGGCCGCCTGGCCAAACTGAGCAATCGGGGGAGAAGAGCCTTGGTCAGGGAGGTGACCAAGAACCCAATGGGAACTCTGACAGAGCTCTAGAGTTCCTCTGTGGAGATGGGAGAACCTTCCAGAAGGACAACCATCTCTGCAGCACTCCACCAATCAGGCCTTTATGGTAGAGTGGCCAGACGGAAGCCACTTCTCAGTGAAAGGCACATGACAGCCTGCTTGGAGATTCCAAAAAGCACCTAAAGGACTCTCAAACTATGAGAAACAAGATTCTCTGGACTGATGAAACCTAGATGGAATTATTTGGCCTGAATGCCAAGCGTCACGTCTGGAGGAAACCTGGCACCATCCCTACGGTGAAGCATGGTTGTGGCAGCATCATGCTGTGGGGATGTCTTTCAGCGGCAGGCACTGGGAGACTAGTCAGGATCAAGGGAAAGATGAACGGAGCAAAGTACAGAGAGATCCTTGATGAAAACCTGCTCCAGGGCACTCAGAACCTTAGTCTGGGGGCGAAGGTTCACCTTCCAACCGGACAACGACCCTAAGCACACAGCCAAGACAATGCAGAGGTGGCTTCGGGATAAGTCTCCGAATGTCCTTGAGTGGCCCAGCTAGAGCCCGGACTTGAACCCGATCGAACATCTCTGGGGAGACCTGAAAATAGCTGACAGAGCTTGAGAGGATTTGCAGAGAAGAATGGGAGAAACTCCCCAAATATAGGTGTGCAAAGCTTGTAGCGTCATACCCAATAAGACTTGAGGCTGTAATCGCTGCCAAAGGTGCTTCAACAAAGTAAATGTAAATGTGATATTTCTGTTTTCTAAAAACCTGTTTTTGCTTTGTCGTTATGGGGTATTGTGTGTAGATTGATGAGGGGGAAAAAAACTATTTAATACATTTTAGAATAAGGCCGGTAAGAAAATGTGGAAAAGGTAAATGGGTCTGAATACTTTCCGAATGCACTGTATTTATTCATTTTGCTCTGAACTTGAGGGGCCAAATAAAATCAGCCACGGGACGAATTTGGCCCGTGGTCTGCCTATTGGGGAACCCTGCCCTAACCCTTAATATAAACCTTACCCTAACCATAACCTTAGCAAGCAGTTGCTTATCAACAGATAGTCAGTTGCTTATCAACAGATAGTTTGTTGATAGTATGACCATCTTTAGTGCATTTACAGATGGACTATCCAAATAAAGTGTGACCGATCTTTTTTGTAGCCTTCACTTTTCAACCTTCATTTAACTTTTTATTTAGCTGAATATCCCATAGAAAATAATGATTTTGTTGCGTGTCTGAGAGACTTTTAGAATTGGATCTGATCTCAGGTGGTCACAGTTAGATGCAGTGCATAGCACTGTAATAAAATCTATCTGTTTTCTGGGATTCCTGACAGTAAAAGTGTCTGGGCTGAGTTATGAGTTGCTCAGAAGTGGACCAGGTGTGCTCTGTGTTCTGCGTGCCCCATGTCCCTGGGGTGAAATTCTCTTCGAACACACACCGACACCATATAGGAAACACATAATACCATTAAACCTGCACACATGTGTGCATACCAAACGCACGCTCAAACTCATGCATACACTCATTCACTCTCTCACACACACACACACACACACACAGCCATTCAGTCCCATATTTTCAGGATCTCTAGGGCTCTACTGCTTGGCTGTAACCAATGATGTCGCTCTAGCTCCCTCTTGCGGCCTAATAGAAGCAGTAGCCAGAGAAGGCGAGGCCTCTCACAGGCTCATTTTTGGGCAGCTGTGATTGGGCTGTTTCACATTGAAAAAAATCCTGTCTGTGTCAGTGGGCGTTCCCTCTTTCGAGTGAGCATGCCAGAGATTGTTGAGGAACTGTATGTTCTCGCGAAAGAGGGAACGCCCATTTACACAGACGGGAACCTTGACAATTTTTTTCCCATGGTAAATGGCCTTAATGAGACATTCATTATCCACCATCATTGGCAGTAGCTTCCTGCCAAGCTGGTACTCTTGCATTGAGCAGTTAGGTAATTGAAGTTGGAAGCATTGTCAGTAAACCATGGCACTCCCAGGTGGATAAAGTTGATAAAGTTTGCCATTTGCTCTTTCCCAACGCGGTATAATGGTTTATAACTGCCATGCATAATTGTAGGACATCTGGCATCCGCGATGGAAGTACAAGTTGGCTCTCCCCTTCTCTTCAAACGAACAAGAGAGCCAATGCCAAACATCTGTTACCATGCGAACAGCATCTCTGTCATCAGGACTTGGGGCCGAGTCCCAGCTGAGATATAAATAGCAATCAAGAGCTAACAAGGTTGACGCAAGCGGGCAGGCAGGCAGCCTGCACATGGAGTTAGGGCAGGGAGGTAAATGTGAGATTGATAAGGAGGGACGAGTTAGTAAAAGGACAGGAATGCTGGGAGTGTCTCATGATCACTCCATTCAAACCCACAGTATGGGAGGGGCAGGAGCAAAACCATGACAAATCAGAGCATTTATTAGCATCTGTCATGATGACTGTAGCAACCTTCCACCATGGGCACCAGAATTAGAACAGTTAGGTCATTACTGTACATAAATAAGATTGAGGAAGTGAAGACATACAGGTGTGTGTGTATTCTGAACATCTGGGGTGTATTCAGTAAGGTAAAACGTAACAGATACTGTAGAATGAAATTAATAGAGCTGACTTGATTCCTAGTTCTACATGACAGACAATCATATCGGTTCTACACAATACATTTCAATACATTTCATCATTGTATTTTCTATCAGAAAGTAGGCTGGCCCTCCTTGAAGTCTTGTAGATCGATGCATTGCGCTATTTTTATCTATAAAGCCCTCTTGCATAAACTTCTGCCATACCTTTACCTCATTGTTAACCTTCAGATGTATAAGTTACCAGACCCGGACACTCAGGGATGGCTAACCCTGGAGATCCCTTCAATCTCTACCAAGTTAGGTAAATCTGCTTTGTGGAATGATCTCCAAAAGTCCTTAAAGTTGGTGGAGTTGGTGCCTCTAGGGCAGGGGTCATCAACTACATTCAGCGCGGGCCGATTTTTTTCTTGAGCAGATGGTCGGGGGGCCAGAACATAATTATAAATAATTTGTACTCTGCAAATTGACGCAAGAAGCCCAAACAGATATTGTATTTGACAAAAACATAATCATTTCAAACCTTGATTACATTGGTACACCATCACATATATCTCTCTATTTCTGAGTGGAAATACTTGGGAATAGATTTCCAAAATAATTGTATTGGTTAATTTCTAGTGATTTTAGTATTTTGTGTCCAAAATGTAAAAAAAAAGATATGTTCTTTAACATTGCACCCAACTGAACTGGCCCCGGGAGGTAGTTTCTGTCACATAGAGCCCTCCCTTTCCGACCTTGACTGTTCCTATTCATGTGGACGTGTCCAGCTCTTTGTCTGTCTATTCGCTTAAATAACGTTTTCCCCAACCAGGCTCATCTCTTTCTTTAGTTGTGGTGATTTTTCAGCTTAGAACAGTCTCTTCAATGCCAATCCACCCTTGATGAAGCAATGTTTTGGAAACAACATGAATTAAAATCCTGGAAGTGAAAGGAATATAGCTCTTTCTTTATCTGACTTCTTAATGGCGATATTGCATCACATGGTGCTTTCTTTCTCATGGTCTCATCAGGTTACTCAACTCTATATCTCATTCCACTCTATAAAGTGTACATCTGGGTTTCAGCATCTGCAGGTGGTTTGACCGAGCAGAAGAAAATGCTCCATGCAGATCAGACCAGTCTGACCTGTACATCTCTCTGTATCCACAGGAGTTCTCCTCTCCCGACTTCAGGAGTAACTCTGTGTCCAGTCGAACCCCCACCCCTCCAGGACGTTACTTGCCCCACAGCCCAATTGACCGTGAGCTGTCTGTCTCCCCCAGACGCAGGTAATAACACTCTCACTCTTCTACAGATCTACCACGATGTACAGTACAAATTTAACCACTCTAACGTATTTTGTTATTGTGTATTTTGAATATGTGATTATGACTTACTACAAACAGGCTTAGGGTAAAATAAACTCCTGTAGCAATTCAGCGTAATATGTAAAAACGCCTAACACAGCACTTAGTTAACCAAAACAGATGTGGTTGATCTTGGAGCTACAAGTCAGACTATTTTAGTGTGCATTGGAGGATTCAGCTGTCTTTATCGAACATTGACTTAATCGGTTAGAAATGTAGATTGTACCTTACTCTGATAGGGCTATTTACTCAACGGCCAAAAAGAAAGTAGAGATTCTTCAAACCGGTTCAACTGTTCCTTACAAAGCCTCTCAGGTCGTCTGTTTTTAGCCATACTCAGTGTTCCTCCCTCCTGGAAAGGTTGGAGTGTGTCTGTGTGCAGTTCTTAAGGAGCATTTCTGTTCTGCTGGGTCTCCTCTGGGCCAGTAATGTAACGTGTCAGAATATGGCATCAGACCCAGCCACCTCAGGCTCTTGCTCTTATCCCCCAAAATGTCTTATTTCACTTCTTCTCCTAATTGGACCCCCACTCTGTAGTCCCCAGCCTTCACACCAAGCCTCTCCCCCCTCTGACTCAGCCAATCACAGGTTTAGAGAAACTCCCTGAGATGCCTCTTTTCTCTCCAGGCCAATGAGTGGTAGCCGAAAGGCACACCTTTCAGTCCGAAACTCACTCTTCTCCTGTGTCTGTCTGGTGTTGAATAGGTGTGTGCTTGTGTTTTTGTGTGTTTGCTGGGTTATCACAGCTGAGGATAGACGTGCAGCCAAGAACAACTCTTACATCCGAAAGCAAAGATTATCTTGTTGTAAAATAATTATCCTCTTTGTTCCCGCTTTGTTTCTGAGGTGAGTTATTTCTGACTTGTATTGTATTTGGTAATGAGTTTAGGGACAACTGGCTTTAATTAATTAGTATGGCTGTGTTTTTGAATGAAGCAATGCAAACAACACCAACAGCCCTATTGTTCTCACATTGGAGAATGCTGTTGGAGCTGGGAGCAGTGATAGCATCTGTTTGACTGAGGCTTGTTTAAAGACCTGTATTTTCACTAGATGAAAATCAGGGGTTCTCTGTGCCAAGTGTGGCTGTGGAAACATGAAAAGCCCGCTTTTTCCATGTACACATTTCTAGAGTGGTTTCTTAAAAACATTCAAACTGTTGTGGAGTCTTACAAAGTACTTACTTGAAAGCCAACTGACAATATTATTTTCAAGATACTGTGTGTTATGTGTAGCCTATTCTTTTCTTTTGAGTATGCATACATACAGTATATTATGATATAGTTTAGGCCAGTTATGGCTGTTTTCATAATAGATTTCCCTCAATCTGTATCTTTCTGCCATTCACTGTTCTGACGTTATGTTGTTTGCTTTGCTCCCATGCTTTTGTGCTCTTAGTACATTTGACCCAGTATTTCCATTGGTTTGAAGATGTAATGTCAATAAGGTTTGTGAATGAGGGGAAAAGGGAAATGGATTGAGCGGGTGGAGTGGAGCATGATGAAGACTTGGAGGGTGTGTTTGGGAGTCTGTTTTCAATTTGAACCATGTTCTGTAATGCAAAGGAAAGGGTCTGAGCATTGGGTTCACTTGGAGATTTGTCTCATCGTTTTGCAATCTCCTGTTTCAGCCGTGTTACATCAGTGGGAAGTAAGTTCCAAATGCTGATGAAAGGCAGGCACGAACTCCAGTCCACATGAATGCATGCACAGGCATACGCATGTATCTCTACATTTCCATAGTGCCTCAAACAGGATTAATGTGAATGATTATTATTTTCCATGGTATTGTCTTAGATTAGATCAGCACAGGTGGAATTTATACAGTCAGTATAACACAGAGGGAGAACCAGCTGATGGGAGTTGGCAGACTTTTACTGACTGCTTAGCAGGGATGTTCTGCTCAATTGGCTGCAGGTGAATGGCAACACACCGCACCTGTGGACTGAGGGTCTGTTTGACCGGTTTTCACACATAACCTGACTGACTGAAAGGCTCCCTCCAGGCAAACAATGTTGACTACAGTATTCTGTGTGTGTGTGTGTGTGTCTGTGCATGGGTCCGTGTGTACATTTGACTGTCATCTTTCTGTCCGTTGTTTTTCTCTGAGTTGTTGATAGGGTAGGAAAGTATAACAATGGCAACCACACACGGTTACTATGGAATGAACAATAAAGTGAACCACTTTTATATTCCACCACCCCTGTGGCTAAGAATGTACTGCTCATAAATCTGTAAGTGCAGTGCTACTATGCTGCCTGCTAATCTGCTAATTAGCTAGGCAGCAGAGAAACTACCCAGAGGTGTCAACTCTCTTAAGACTATGTCCCACCACAAGCACTCCCATTTGTCCAATATGGCCACAAACCATGCATTGGCTTAAGTTCCCTCATAAGTTATCTTGCCTCAAAGCTAAAAGGTGGCCATTGGCTCTAGTGGGTCATAAATGTAATGATGGCGTGAGAGAGGGGTAGTGGTACATGATAGAAATGTCACGTCTCTGTGACTTTCCATCCTGGAATGCCTGGAGTAAAACAGCAGGATTACCCACTTTATTTGGCCAATCATGGCTGCTGTGGTGGTGGGTATCTGGAAAGCTTTAGCCACAGTTCTACTTTAGAAAGCCAATGTAATTTTTTTTCTAGTAAAGGCAGCCATAAGCTGGAATGTCTTCACCTTAATACCCAAACACTACACCAATAATGTATGCTACTTAGTTGATAACATGGTACCGTCTACTCTACACTCTACGCAGGCATTTTCATTATGTCTTCTTTACCTTGCCCGCAGGACATTTTCAGACTAGAGCAGTTGCTGCTGTAAGTGGATAGCAAGGTGATCCAGTTCAGTTGTGAGTGTTTGGGCTGAGATTGGAGGCTGGCTTTGGTGACTTGCCTGGGGGCTTTGGGCTAGAAGGTCAGTCACAAAGCTGACTGCTGCCCCTGTCTTAATTTCCTCTGGATTCTCTCAAACTAACCCCACATAAGTCCCCCACAATGTACACATCGCCTTGAACATATATGGACAAATTATTACACCATCGACCGTACACGGAATGTACATATGTACAGTACATAGATAGAACATAGATTGTACATGGAATGTATATAGATATGTATTGACTGAACAGTCTATTTATCTGAATGGTTACGTAATAGGTAATATCTATATCCCCTCTCTTTCTCTCCCACAGCAGTTCCAGCTCGGACTTTGCCATGCAGAGGTTTGACCGGGATTCAGAGGTCTACAAGATGATCCAGGAGAACAAGGAGTCTCGCACGGCCCCTCGACAGTCCAACACCTTCCGCATGCTGCAGGAGGTTCTGGAGTCTGATGAGAAGGGTGAGCAGAGCCTCCCATAAACACACTCATCTTCACTCTCTCTCTCTGTGTCACACTGCTGTTCTGTTCGCATCTAATAAACAGCTGTGTAGGATGGACTGTCCCGTTTTAAACCTATTTGATGGGTCAACTGGATATCAACTCTGAGGTAGATAGAGGTTATTCGTGGATAATGGTTATTATGTCAAATTCAACACAATTTACCACAATTTTACTCAATTGTTTCATCAAACTTGTGTTCTGTCTGGCTACTAAGACAGTTATTAGATATCGATAGATACATTTGGCCACCCCCTGGTCCAGAGCAGAATTAAAGTCAGATAAGGAAACTCTTGCATGCATACTCTGACATAGAGCATTGTTTTCAATGGACAGCAGAGTGTGAGTGTTGTCGTTTTTACTTTTACAAGCGGAGATGGTAATAATAGTTTTATGAAGTGATAACGACCAGCATGTGTCACTGGTGTCATGAAGTATGTCCCCCGGATCATAAACTGGTGGTGTTCAGACAAACAGTGTCTCCTACGGGAGGACAGTGTGTACATGCAAAACCATCTGCTGTTGGCTCTGAATGACTCTGCTCTCCTCTGTTTGTCTCTGGTTTGTTCTATGCAGAAGCAGTTGTGCGGTTCCCAGGGCTCTCCCCCAAACCCACCCCTTCCAAACCCACATCACCCGGGGTCGGAATCCCCAAGTACCACACCTGTGAGAAGTGTGGCACCAGCATTGTGTAAGAGTCTATGACACGTCACTTCATGTCACATGCTGTCTCCATGTCCACAGGGGTAATTGTGACATGTACTCTCTGTCCACAGGGGTAATTGTGACATGTTCTCTCTGTCCACAGGGGTAATTGTGACATGTTCTCTCTGTCCACAGGGGTAATTGTGACATGTTCTCTCTGTCCACAGGGGTAATTGTGACATGTTCTCTCTGTCCACAGGGGTAATTGTGACATGTTCTCTCTGTCCACAGGGGTAATTGTGACATGTTCTCTCTGTCCACAGGGGTAATTGTGACATGTTCTCTCTGTCCACAGGGGTAATTGTGACATGTTCTCTCTGTCCACAGGGGTAATTGCGTAACAGATGACAAATAATAAGTAATAATAAGCTGCTGACAAATACAAGCCCTGACAATGATACCTTGCCCTAAGGTGCAGGTTATTCCTCATAAATACAGAGGAGCTGAATTAATAAGCCTTCCTACAGTGTTTGTGTACGTAATGTACAAAGATTAAAATATGCAGGAACAATGTTTGTGTTGAGTATGACTGTGTCCATCTGTCTGCAGTACACAGGCGGTGCGCATCATGGACGACCGCTTCCGCCACCCAGAGTGCTACACCTGTGCTACACCAGAGTGCGGTCTCAACCTGAAGATGCGAGGTCACTTCTGGGTGGGAGAGGAGATGTTCTGTGAGAAGCATGCCCGTGAGAATTACCAGGGCCTTGGCACTGCCCCCCGTGCCACCATCTCACCCCACCACTGAAGCTCACTGACTTACAGCAATAGACCATGGGCTGGGGAACGGGAGTGGGGGGGCCAACACATCAGAGGTTGTGCCATTTCTATAGCATTTAACTATACTCTGCAGTTTTATCATTCAATTACTATGAGGTTTTGTTTTCCCAGGCCCTCCCGGTTTAGCCCTTATAGGTGTATTGTTATCGCTAATGTACAGCTGTATCTCATTCAGACAACTTAGTGGGCTATGCCTGCCACATTTACACCAACCTATTACACAACAGGACTGGTGTATGAATCAGATCAATGACAGAGCGTAACATTTATCCTTTAAACCGCATTGAATCTCCTGCTGACCCATTTGGAGGAAGGGAAACAAACTCTTCATTTGAATTACAAGGCATTTGAAAGAAAGAAGACATAAATTACAAAGGGTGAAAGTTCATCTACGTCAAAGTTTGTACTGTATTTGTGGTTGTGTGTATTTGTGTGTGTGCTTGCGTGTGTATGTGTGATTCAACTTGAGCAAGAGTTCCGATCATTCCTTTTGAAGAGATGGTTTAAGTGCCTGCGTTGCTGCCATTTCCCCCTGCTATTGGTATCACTATTAAAAGGTTTTAGTGGATTTATCTTTAGAATGCCAAGCCAAGCCTGTTGGGTTTCCTTTTGCCTTTTGGTAGCACATCAATTTAGTTGGAATGATGAAATACTTATTTGCTTTATTGCTTTTTTTAAATAAGGGAATATAAAGATGTGATATATAAATAATAACATTTTTGTAAATGTTTATTTTATAGAACAATATAGAGTACCATATCATACGACGTCTGATGGCATGTGTGTGCACAGGATTGCATGATTTGTAGTACTTTTTTAGTGTGAAGACGTTTGCTGATGCTATTGCTGTATATTCCGTTTCTTCACAGCAACACCCAGAGAAAGACACAGTGTCACACTTCATGAAAACACATCAAATGAAGGTTACTCATTTTAGAAGAATATATAAGGGGTAAGGGGGAACTACATGTATATTGGCCTTTTGTACAGTTAGCTATGCTATGCAATTGTACCATCAACAGCTTATGTTGTTGAAAAGTATGTAATGTTGGCTAAACCTTCCAGTTCCCTGGACAATAAACACCATGTGGGCCCATTCACCTCATCCTATAGATGGGTACATCTGGCCTACTGGTGCCACCTCTGTGTCTTTACCAGGGAAATCATCCTGGACACAGTCATGTTCATTTGTGCTATAACCTGGCTGTATTGGGAACAACATTCTGAATATATAAAAACTTATTGGAAGTAGGTCTTCTATTCTCTGTGACTTGGTGATGAGCAGATTTTTTCCACATTATGTTTTGTAAGAATAAATTGTATCTTTGATGCTCTTGAAAATGTGTTTTGAGTTGAATTGGTCATTTGTGTTACCTACAGATCCTAAAATGGATCTCATGCTTGTACGATTTCTTAAATATGTCATGTACAGTGAGGGAAAAAAGTATTTGATCCCCTGCTGATTTTGTATGTTTGCCCACTGACAAAGACATGATCAGTCTATAATTTTAATAGTAGGTTTATTTGAACAGTGAGAGACAGAATAACAACAAGAAAATCCAGACAAACGCATGTCAAAAATGTTATAAATTGATTTGTATTTTAATGAGGGAAATAAGTATTTGACCGCTCTGCAAAACATGACTTAGGACTTGGTGGCAAAACCCTTGTTGGCAATCACAGAGGTCAGACGTTCCTTGTAGTTGTCCACCAGGTTTGCACACATCTCAGGAAGGATTTTGTTCCACTCCTCTTTGCAGATCTTCTCCAAGTCATTAAGGTTTCGAGGCTGACGTTTGGCAACTCGAACCTTCAGCTCCCTCCACAGATTTTCTATGGGATTAAGGTCTGGAGACTGGCTAGGCCACTCCAGGACCTTAATGTGCTTCTTCTTGAGCCACTCCTTTGTTGCCTCTGGCCGTGTGTTTTGGGTCATTGTCATGCTGGAATACCCATTCACGACCCATTTTCAATGCCCTGGCTGAGGGAAGGAGGTTCTCACCCAAGATTTGACGGTACATGGCCCCGTCCATCGTCCCTTTGATGCGGTGAAGTTGTCCTGTCCCCTTAGCAGAAAAACACCCCCAAAGCATAATGTTTCCACCTCCTTGTTTGACGGTGGGGATGGTGTTCTTGGGGTCATAGGCAGCATTCCTCCTCCTCCAAACAGAGCTCGATTTTGGTCTCATCTGACCACCACTTTCACCCAGTTCTCCTATGAATCATTCAGATGTTCATTGGCAAACTTCAGACGGCCCTGTATATGTGCTTTCTTGAGCAGGGGGACCTTGCGGGCGCTGCAGGATTTCAGTCCTTCACAGCGTAGTGTGTTACCAATTGTTTTCTTGGTGACTATGGTCCCAGCTGCCTTGAGATCATTGACAAGATCCTCCCGTGTAGTTCTGGGCTGATTCCTCACCGTTCTCATGATCATTGTAACTCCACGAGGTGAGATCTTGCATGGAGCCCCAGGCCGAGGGAGATTGACAGTTATTTTGTGTTTCTTCCATTGGCGAATAATCGCACGAACTGTTGTCACCTTCTCACCAAGCTGCTTGGCGATGGTCTTGCAGCCCATTCCAGCCTTGTGTAGGTCTACAATCTTGTCCCTGACATCCTTGGAGAGCTCTTTGGTCTTGGCCATGGTGGACAGTTTAGAATCTGATTGATTGATTGCTTCTGTGGACAGGTGTCTTTTATACAGGTAACAAACTGAGATTAGGAGCACTCCCTTTAAGAGTGTGCTCCTAATCTCAGCTCGTTACCTGTATAAAAGACACCTGGAAGCCAGAAATCTTTCTGATTGAGAGGGGGTCAAATACTTATTTCCCTCATTAAAATGCAAATCAATTCATAAAAAAATTTAAATGTGTTTTTCTGGATTTTTGTTGTTGTTATTCTGTCTCTCACTGTTCAAATAAACCTACCATTAAAATTATAGACTGATCATGTCTTTGTCAGTGGGCAAATGTACAAAATCAGCAGGGGATCAAATACTTTTTTCCCTCACTGTATGTAGACTCTGATATCCTTAGACCTTTTGCATGAACCATGTGGCCAAGTAATTGTGATTATAAATGAAAAGTGATGCAAATCTAATGGAAACAGACATATTACCTTTCCTCAAATAAAAAGGTACATCTCAGTGAGTCAAAATAAAATATAGGCTTTTATGATCCCATGGCTGAGACTTGAAGGCAGTAAGCTTTAAAGCACTCCTTTGGGCACTGTGAACACAGAAACTGCTCAGTCTGTCATTTACATAGCCACGGGAAGTAGTTAATTATCTGTACAAAACAGTTAATCTGATAATACTTGTTGAATATGTTTTCCAGTTTCTTGAAATACTTTGCAAATGCAACTTATTTCTATATGAAAGTGAAATGGTCTAATCACTCCTTTTCAGTAGACACTCTTATACAGAGCAACTTACAGTAGTGAGTGAATACATTTTGATACTGGTCCCCTGTGGGAATCAAACCCACAACCCTAGCATTGCTAGCGCCATGCTCTACCAACTGAGCCACATCATCACGATCAACTTGATGTCTCAATGTACTCAATTACTGTATTGTGCATTGTTTTTCTTCATGGTGATGGACAGTCTACAGGTACAAACCTAGATGACCAGCCTGTGTACAATACAGTCATGTACATTTACATTAAGTGGTTTGTAAGGATGGTAAATTAATACTGCACAAAAAGTGGTTGTTTTCCATATTATTTGATCAAGAAAAATATTTAATTTGATGTGGATGTTTTGTGTCTTTGCCCATAACTTTGCACCTTTTGATGTAAATGTTTGAGGACAGGGTTTTATTCTTTCTGGATTCCATTAGAATGACAATAGCAGAGAAAGGGACAGGGCAACAACTTTTACAATTCCAACTATTGAATCCTGCAAGATACTGTTCTTAATTATACAACTACCTTTTTTGCCAAAGCAGAGATGCTGAAAAATAGTTTTTGCCGAGCTTCAGACATCTATATCGGTCCGCTAATACTAGTAAAGGCCCAGTGCACTACTTTTGTGAAAAACATTTTATTTTATTATTTTATTTTGTAATAATATATTATTATTATGTTTTTCTACTTCCTGCAGCTATGGTCATTTATTCTTAGGACTGTTTTTCACAGGTACTGCTGTTTTATCTTTCCTCCAGAAGGGGGACACATTGTCACAGTTAGGTTTTTGCATAGTACTGAGGCTGTCCAACATATCATCTTTGGTATGTATTGTACTGGAGTTTACAACACTGTATGGTGATTCTGTGTAGTAGGAGTTATAAAAAACACTTAAGTAAATAACTTTAAAAGAACAACAGCGTCACAAAAATGTATACAATCCAATACATTCAAGTACTGTAGGCTACTGTATTATACTTTTTTACCCATTATTTTTCGCACAATAACTTTAAGGCAGACAATGATGAGATGTCCACCATAAAGTTATGTAATAGATAGTGGTTATAAAGACATTTGAAGTATTAATATGTATTGGTTTTAGCAACAAATATAATCTCACAGATTCAGTGGTCTAGGTTGAGGATATATGGGTGTGGTTCCTGTGGGTTTGGCATGGAAGTCAGCCATCAAATAAAATAAAATGTTATTTGTCACATACACGTGTTTAGCAGATGTTATTGTGGGTGTAGCGAAATGCTTGTGCTTCTAGCCCCCGACAGTGCAGTAATATCTGACAAGTAATATCTAACAGCAGCCTCAATGCTGTTATTGAATTCACCACTAGATGTCATAGCTTCCTCAAGAAAGGAACAACATCAGACATGATGATACAGTACTGGAGTAGTCTAGTAGTTTGTATTTAGGATTACACTGTAATGGTTTCCTCACTATTGGAGTTTTGCTACCACTGTTAGTAATGCTAAGATGAGTTGTGCCTTATTTTCTTGAAGATACTGTAACAAGTAAACTAGTTTCATTACGTCTTTAGAAACTTGTGATTGT